GTGGGCGCGAGGGAGGCAGCGCGCGCCTGTTCCTCGCCTTGCCCGCCGTGCCCTTCGTGCGAGGCGGGCAGCGGGCCTCGGCACTCCCTGGCGGGGGAGGCGGCGCGGTGCGGCCGGCCTTCCGCTGCTGGGCTTCGCCTGGCGCACAAGCTCGTCGTGGTTGCGCTCTCGTCTCGCGGGCTGGATCACTATGCTGACCTCACGCCCGGCTTTGACGTGTACGCCGAGGAGTACGATGCAGGAAACGCTGGCGTCCGCAACTGGTGGAGGGAGTGGGGCCCCGCCGCCGCGCCGTTGGGCGCCGTCACTCCAGCTGGACTGCGGCACTCCGACCTCGCCGCGATGCCGACGGTCGCCCAGCTGGCGCAGGCCTGCGCCCGCGGAACCGCGAAGATGGCCGACCAAGAACGTGACGCTGGTGCGGGTTCTGCTGCAGCCGTTCCTGCTCCTGGTGTTGCTGGTGGCTATGGTGCCTTTCCTGCCCTCGCCGCCGCTGCGGGCGGGGCCCCCTTGGGAGGCAGCATCGCCGCGGGCGCGCCTGCTGCCGCAGGCGGCACCGCCGCTGCCGCCCCCGCCCCCGCCCCAGCAACCGCTGCTGGCGCGGCGAGCGCCCCCGCTGCGGGAGGGCTGGCGGGGCCCGCTGCGCGGGTTGCTGCCCCGCGCGCCGCTGGAGGTGACGGTGCTGTCGCTGCCGCACCCCCTGCGGTCGATGGCGGAGCCGCCGCCAGGCTTGGAGACTTTCGGACTCTCGCGACCGCGTGCGACGTGCAGGGGCCGCTACATCGGGAGTTCAGGGACTGCGTCCAGCTCGTGCGGCCGACGAGCCTTCCCGATCGGGACGTGCCTGGCCCCGCCACGTACCACTGGGTCACGACTTACCAGGTGGAGAACGGAGGCTCTCCGATGGGACGCCCCCAGGCTTGGAAGGCTGCTCTCGGATGGGCTGCGTCTGTGAACGACCCCATCGTTTCGTTGCATCACGAGTTCTCGAAGATCATGCAGGTGGCCCTGTCTTACGATCGGGCCGACGGGTCGAATCTGGCAGCGATGGAGCTCGTTGCCCGATAGCCCCAGCTCCGCGAGAAAGGGTACACGGACAAGCTGGGGTGTTCTCGTTCCCCCGACAGCGGAGGCCACGAGCAGTTCTTCTTCGTGGGAATGCGGTCCGCCCGTGGGTTCATGGTATGGCCTGCCCTGTCGGAGTGGATCTCCGCGCAGCTTGCCGCCGATTCAGCCATCGCGAAGGAGCGCCGCGAGGCGCGTGAGGGGCGGGGGCTGCTCCGCCCGCCCGCAGGTGGCCGAGGCGGTGGACAGGGCAGCGGCGCGGGCAAGGCTGGCAAGTCTTAGCCTGCGCTCTTCATCGTGCTTGCGGCGGCTGCCGGGACTTTGTTCATCCTGGAGGGCTCCCCTCTGGCCTCTCGCTCCTGACGTCGTGGTCCATGCGCCGTGGCTGCCAGTCGTCAGCGAAACGTTCTCCCTCTTCCACTTCGTCCTCGTGACCGCCCCCGCGATGCTGGCGGTCGCGCTGGTGCTCTGGCTCGGGTTGACTGGGCCAACGACGGTGCCCGGGCGCTCAACTGGCTTGGCGGGGGCGGGGCGCCGCCGATCCGGAAGCGCCCCGCAGTTTTGCGGCAACGGTCGCTCGACCACGTCGCTGCGCAGCACGTCAAGTTCGGCGGCCCGCCCTCTGCCATCTTTCGCTCGAGCTCGCTCTCCGACATCTCTGCTCCAGTTGCCCGCTCTACTCTGCGGGGCGCGGCAACGTGGTCTCCTAAAGCAAGGGCCTCGCGTCCTGGCCTTCAGGCGGCTCGGCGCCGGTGGCGCTTCGTGACGCACTTCTGAGGCTGACCGTTTGTGGCTGCAGGATTGGGGGGCCCACGCGCTGCGCCCGCCTGGGGAAGCAGCGGCCCCTAGACGAGATCTCGGATTCACTCAACCCTACATTGATCCTAAACTACGACGCCCTGCCACCTGCGGGGATTTCATCGGCGAGCTCCTGGGCAGGGGCATGCTGCGCCTCTCTCCTGCTCGCGGTCGCCGCGGGCTCCTTCGGGTCTTCGTGGTCGCGAAGAAGTCGGGCCAGCTGCGGCTCATCTTCGACACCCGGGTCTGCGACGCGCGATTCAAGCCGCCGCCCTGCGCCGACTTGCCCGCTGGCAGCGTTTTCGCTCGCATGGGGACGCGGGCAGCGGCGACATGTGGTTCAGCAGTGGGGACATCTCCAACGCCTTCTACGCCGCGCAGGTGCCCGAGGACCTCTGCGAGTACTTCTCGCTGCCGCCGGTGCTCGCTGGGCTGGCTGGTGTTACTGAGTTGGACGGTAGCGCGATGCGCGAATCGACTGGTTGCTCCCCGAGCTCGCGATCTTGCCGATGGGCTGGTCCTGGGCCCTGCACTTTTGCCGGTGCGTCTCCGAGGCCGCGCTCGCCCGGGCCCGCGTTGGCCCCGCGCGGCAGGTCCGCGACCGCAGCCGTGGCGTGGTGTCCGCGCCCAAGCTGCCTGCCGCCGGCGCCGCGCGCGTGGGCAACTACCTCGTTGCTGGCCCGCGGCGCGCCAAGGTTCAGGCCGTGGGCCGCGAGGTCGAGCGGGAACTCCCCCCCCATCGGCTTTGTCGTCCACGAGCAGGTGGGGGCCACCAGGTCTACCAGCTTCGCGGGCCTCGAGCTTGCTTGATGGACATCGCCACTCCGCGCGGGTCTCTGCGCGGCGAGCCCGGCGCCTTCGCTGCGCCATCGAGGAGCTCCTCCGACGCCCGAAGATGCGCGGGCCCATTCTGGAGATCGTCGTCGGCCACTGCGCCTGGGTCATGCTGCTCAAGAGATGCTTGCTGCAATCTCTGATTCGGTCTACGCCTTCATCCTGACGGCGAAGGGCGAGGCGATGCCGCGCTGGCCCTCGGTGCGTCGCGAGCTCTGGCAAGTCCGCTCTCTACTGCCGCTCTTCGACGTCTTCGCTGGCGCGGACTTGCGCGGCGAGATTACCGCCAGCGACGCCTCGGGCCGGGGCTGCGGGGTCTGCCGCCGGCGCTGCGACCGCGAGGCTGTGGCCGAGCTTGGCCGCGCTGCCCTGCGAGGTGGCGATGTCTTTTCGAGGGGTCGGCGCGCGCCCGTGACCATGCGCTTGGCCCCGGCTTTCCTGGCGCAGTACTTCGCGATCCTGGCTGTCTGCCGACGGACGAGGCCAAGAACTGGGACAAGTCCTTCGGCGAGGTCGACCCGGACCTGCTGGCCGAAGACGGCCGGGCCATCGCCCACTCGTTCTCGTGGAGGGACTCCTGCGACATCCACCGCGCAGAGGGGCTCGCCGTCGCGTCCGCGCTGCGCCGCCAGCCCAGGGCCGCGGGCGCCTTCGGGAAGTGGATCGCGTGCCTGGTCGACAACGTGTCGCTCGCCCTCGCCATCGGCAGGGGCCGCGGGTCCTCGCCGCGGCAGAGCAGCGTCCTGCGAGAGATCTGCCCTACTCCTCCGCCTGCAGACTGCGCGTCGTTGCGAGGTGGGCCCCCGGCGAGCTCCACCCCGCGGGCGCGCCCTCGCGCGGCCTCAGCTACATCGAGGGCATCGACGCCGAGGTGGCCATGGCTCTTGGTGACCATCTCCGTGATCTTCGAGACTCCCGCGGGGGCGCGGGGCCGATCCGCCCTGCCCCTTCTGCCCGCGGGGCCGGCCCATCAGCTCCAGCCCGCCCCCCTGGATGCCGGCGCTGGGATCCTTGCGGCCGCTGTTCCGCAGGAAGCAGCCGCCCGCCGGCGCAAGGTCTCGAATGGGGGGCCTCCTGATGGGGATCACCTACCTCAGCCGCGGTCTATCAGCAAGGCCACGCTGAGGGACTACCAGAGGACGGCGGGTGCCCTCATCGGGTGGCGCTCGCAGCTCCACCTGGGCTGGGGCCGCTGGGGCCAACGGGGCGGCGTCGTGGTGGCCTACTTCGACTGCTTGTGCCTCGGCGGCCGCAGCGGCGACGCTTTGCTTCTACTGGCTGCCCAGAAGTTCTTCCTGCCGCCGCTCCGCGGCCGGGGCGACCGGGCGCTCTGCCGGGCCTCCCGCAGCCTGGCGGGGCGGGGGAAGTGCGCCCCCCACGGTGCGCGCGCGTGCCGCTGCCGCGGCTGCCGGCGGCAGCGCCGGCTGGCGCGACGCTGCGCCGCGGCCAGGTCAAGCAGGCCATCGCCATGATCCGGAGCTTCACGTGCTGACCCCGGCCGTCGGAGTGCGACCAGCTGACAGCCGTGCAGGTCGCCCCCCCCCGTCGTGGCGGACGCCGAGGGCGCGGGGCTCGCCGCGCTGCTGCTGTCTCCTGGCGAGCTGGGGCGGCCAGGGAAGAGGGGCCCCTGGGACTTCGCCGTGGTGATCGACCCCCTCGTCTTCCTGGTTCCCGCGCTCCTCGGCCTGGGGCGCCCGGCGCCGTCGGGGTCGTCGCGGATCCTGTCTTTCCCTCCAGGCTCGCTCGGCACGAGCATGAAGGAGGCTGCCGGCGCGCTGGGGTCGAACGACTTCCCAGTCCCAGCCTGCGGGCTGCGCCGCGGGGGAGCTTCGGGCGGCCCCTTGGCCAAGAGTCAAGCCGCCCTCGACGCCCAGCTGCGCGGCGGCTGGGCCTCAGACAAGAACTTCAGGCAGTGCGCCAGGCACGTTCGCATCATCACCGAGCTGCGGCTCGTCGGCCAGCGCGCGCTCTCCTTCGGCCAGCTGAGGAACGCAGCGATGCCGCTGATCCTCTTGCTGGTGGCGCCGCTGCCCGAGCTCTGCCTGACCTCGCGCGGGCGGTAGAGCTCGCTGGTCCATGTCAGGGGGGCTCTTCGACGAAATCGATCCGTCGTCACCTCCTCGACGAGCTTCACAGAAGCTTCAGACGTCACAAGGGCCCCCCTCGGACCGCTGTCCTGGAGTTGTTCGCCTGTCCTGTCAGCAGCGCTGCGCCGCCGCGGGCTCGCCGCGTGGCCGATGTATTTCGCTTCTAAGCGGTGGTTAAATCTCGACAGTCCTGTTGTCCGCCAGGTTGTGCGAGGGTGGGTGCGAGGCGGGGTCGCCTCGGCTGTCAGGATCGTTTTGCCGCGTTCATCTTGGAACCAGGCGAGACACGGGCCGCCTGGGCCTTCTTGGTGTATTATCCGCTCGTAAGACCACGTCGGGGTGCTGCGAACCTTGCAGCCAGGCCGCAGGCGGCCGTCGACCTCGTGAACCAGCAACTCCGATTCGCCTTGGGCCTGATCTCACTGTGTCGCGCTCTCGGGATTCCCGTCTACCTCGAGAACCCAGGAGGCCCATGGGTCTGGAGTGCGCCTGCGATGAAGGCCCTGCTGGGGGCCAGCGTCGCCGTGTCGTGCGACGTCGGCATGTGTTCGTTCGGGGCCCGCTGGAGGAAGTTCACGCGTGTGGCCTGCTGGGCCCGTCACCACCCTGACGTTTTCGTGAGGCCGCGGTGCAGTTGTAGGAAAAAATGGCCTCAGTTTTTTTTCTGGTAAGCCCCACGTAACCCTCTCTGGCCTTGACCCAGTTTCGGGGATCTTGTGGGCCCGCCTTGCCGAACCTTATCCTGTCAAGTTTTGTATTTTTTTTTCGATTTAAGTGCAAGGCAAACAGGATTCCAATGCTTCAAGCATTTGGTTTCCTTTGCCTGTCCTGTCTTAGATAAGTACTCTCGTTCATGTTCTGCGTGCTCCTATTTAAGTTTATGTGCATTCGGCGCCGTCTTGCCGTCGCCACTTCTCCTCTCGGGCTCGGGTCTTCTCCTCGGTGTTGTGCGGGTGCGTTGTATCCTCCTCCTCTTCTCTCTCTGCCGTGTGTCTCGTTCGCTCGCTGCTGCGCCTTCTGTTGAATCGCCCGGGACGCCCGCCACTCAGAAATGTTTATGGTGGCTTGGGGTGTAGCAGGAGAAGGCCGCGTATGCACATCTCATCTCAGGTGGAAGCGCAAACCGTCGTGGTCACGCATCTCGCCGCGACCGCGTCGGCTCAAGGCTTTTGCTGGCCCGCCCTCCTCTCCCTCTTCTCTTTCTCTCCTCCTCGGTGTTGTGTGGGTGCGTTGGGTCCTCCTCCTCTTCTCTCTCTGCCATGTGTCTCGTTCGCTCGCTGCTGCGCCTTCGGTTGAATCGCCTGGGACGCCCGCCACACAGAAATGTTTAGGGTGGCCTGGGGTGTAGCAGGAGATGATGATGATGCTGATGGTGATGCTGATGATGATAATGATGAGGAGGATGAGGATGATGATGATGGTGGTGTTCATGCGGACGATGTTATTCATGATGATGATGATGAAGATGCTGATGCTGATGCTGCTGATGATGATGATGGTGATGATGAGGATGATGATGAGGATGCCGCTGCTGATAATTCTGATGATGCTGATGATGAGGATGATGCTGTTCACGCTGCGGGTGATGATGACTGTTGTTGATGCTGCTGATGGTGATGATGGTGCCGCTGTTGATGATGATGCCGACGACGAGGACGAGGATGACGAAGATGCTGATGCTGGTGATGATGCTGGTGCTGATGATGCTGTTGATGCTGCTGATGATGACGGTGATGCTGATGCTGACGATAACGATGATGATGATGATGATGATGATGATGATGATGATGATGATGATGATGATGATGATGATGATGATGATGGTGATGGTGATGATGATGATGATGATGATGATGATGCTGATGATGATGGTGATGATGATGAGTGTGATTTTGATGCTGATATTAATGATGATGCTGATGCTTATGATGATGGTGATGATGATGAGTAGGAGGAGGAGGATGATGATTCTGCTGCTGCTGATGATGATGATGGTGATGGTGATACTGATTATGATGATGATGCTGGCGATGATGATGAGGATCAGGATGAGGTTGATAATGACGGCGATGGCGATGGTGCTGCTGATGATGATCATGATGCTGCTGGTGATGATGACGATGATCATGGTGATGGTGATGGTGATGATGGTGCTGGCGGTGATGCTGATGACGATGGTGAGGACGATGACGATGATGAGCATGAGGATACTGATGATGATGCTGATGGTGATGATGATCATGAGGATGAGAATGAGGATGCAGATCCTCGTGCTGACGTTGATGTCGCTGTTGTTGAGGATGATAGTGATGCGGCTTCTGATGATGCTTATGCTGGTGGCGATGATGCTGCTGATGATGACGCTGATGATGATGGTGATGGTGATGATGACAATGCTGGTCATGATGGTGCGGATGATGGTGGTGAAGATGCTGATGATTAGTGCGACGCTGATGCTGAGGATGATGGTGCTGATGGTGACGATGTTGATGATGATGATGACGATGCCGATGATGTTGATGCTGATGATGATGAGGTTGAGGGTGAGGGTGATGATGAGGATACTTATGCTGATGCTGAAGCTTCTGCTGTTGATGCTGATGATAATGATGTCGCTGTTTTTGATGCTGCTGATGTTGATGCTGATGCCGCCGTTGTTGATGATGATGCTTACGTCGTTGACGAGGATGATGACGATGATGATGATGGTGCCGATGACGATGATGATGATCATGCTGATGCTGCTGATGATGATGATGATGATGCTGAATATGATATTGATGATGCTGATGATGGTGATGATGACGCTGAGGATGATGATGATGCTGCTGATGATGATGCTACGCTGATGGTGATGGTAAAACGGATGAGGCATATTACGAATTTGGTGCTGCTGTCGTTTATGCTGATGATGATGCTGATGCTGTTGTTGCTGCTGCTGAGGATGCTGATGATGATGATGCTGACCCTGATGCTGATGCTTGTGATGATGATGGTGATGCTGATGATGCTGTTGATGAGGATGCTGATGATTATGATGCTGATGCTGCTGATGATGATGATGATGCTGGTGATAATGATGCTGATGCTGATGCTCATGCTGATGGTGTTGGTGGTGATGATGCTGCTGCTGCTGATGATGATGATGATGATGATGATGATGGCGACGCTGACGACGTTGACGATTAGGAGGAGGATGCTGGTGGTGGTGATGATTGTGTGGAGGATGAGGAGAAGGAGAAGGAGGAGGAGGATGAGGATGGCTCCTGCTGCTGCTGCTGCAGCTCCTCCTTGCTTCTCCTCCGCATCCTCATTCTCATCCGCAGCCTCCTGTCCAATGTACGCAGCTTGCCCTCTTTCTTGGTTGCGCATCACGTTTTGGGGATCCCGGTGTCCGCCAGGGCACCCATCGGCGGACATGGATAAACTTAGCGGTAAGTCGGGCCTGCCCCTCTACAGGAGGAATCTGCAAATTCGATATTTCTGCAATGTTTTTGCATGTTGGGCTATTTTTGTTATTCATCTTCCAAGCTCCGCCTGTAGAAGGACATGCCCGACCTAGACGTCGCGCAATGGAGCGGGGTGGGTGGGAAGGGCAGGATGTCAGATAATGGCGGGCGCGCGCCCAACTTGCCTCCTTCTCCCCCTCGCCCGTTCACCGTTCCCCCTCCGTGTGAAAGGGCAGGGACGGGGCCGGGAGGATGAGCAGGGACATATTCTAGCAGGGGGCAAGGTGTTCAAGCAGTGGCGAAGCGTCCAGGCATGCCTACAGGCCTACCAAGCAATGTTCTAAGAACCTTTTGTGGTTTCCACGAAGTGTTCTTAGAACGTTTTTGGCTGGGACTGCCTTGTTTTAACAAATCGGTTTTTGTTCTAAGAATGTTGTTTTTGTTCTTCACACATTTTTGGTTTCAAAGAACGATTCGTGTTAGGCCTATAGCGATGCGGGGACGGTCGGTCCCTGCTCAGGGTGCGGGATGCACGATGCAGGAGAGGGGATGATGAGGACGAATCTGTCCCGTAAGGCCTGGAGGCATCCGCTGTCGCGTCCGCCTTTCACCCGACGGTTGACCAGGCTGCCGGAGATGCCGCTTGGCGGCAGCTCAACGAGGCGCTGTCTTTGGGGTCGCAGAATGGAAGAGGGGGAAGAGGAGGAAGAAGAGGAGGAGGATAATGACGAGTGTAAACCGAAGATGCGTAAACGATGTTGCAATCAACCCTGCCACCCAGCTCGCTCGTCATAGGTCCCTACAGGATTTTTGCACTGCGGGATGTGCCCCGTTAGAAGAGAACCGTCTGAGAATTATCAATCGTGCCAAAACACCACTCGTTAGACTTCAACGCTGTGGATCAACTTTCTTGTTGTGTCCTGGCGATCATGAGTCGTGTCAGAACACCGTTCCTCGAACTTCATCGCCGCGAACCAACGTGATTCATGCGCCCTGTCGATTTTAGTTCGTGCCAGAGCGCTGTTCCTGGGACGTCAACCATACGAAATAATCCTTGGAACCGATGTAGACGTTTGAGACGAATGTGCGCGGCGTTGGGGCGAGAGCCACGTTTTGACAAGGAATTGCCCTCCATCCTTGAAGCTGCTGCAAGCTGTCACGGACGAATATGGGCGCTATGGCGAGCCGCATTTTGAACGTCGCCCGCCCTCCATCCGTGAAAACCTTGCAAACTTTTCAGACGAACGTGTGCGGCGCAGAGGCGAGATCCACATGCTGAGAAGGGCTTGTCCTTCACCCGTGAAGCTTCTGCAGATGGTAAGCTTCAGGCCCAGAAGTTGTGAGAAGTCCCATGCGGACTGTCTGGCCCGCCCTACGACACGTCCTGGGGTGCGACAGGGAGGAGCGATTCATACGGGAAGGGATGGAGGAGGAGGAGGAGGAGGAGGAGGAGGAGGAGGAGGAGGAGGAGGAGGAGTGGAGGAGGAGGAGGAGGACGACGAGGACGATTAGGACGAAGAGGAGGAGGATGAGGGATGAATATGAGGATGACTATACTGATTAGGGTAATGCTGTTTTCGTTGATGATGAGGTGGATGCGGACGATGCGGATGATGAGGATGAGGATGGGGCGGCTGATGATGCTACTGTCAATGCTACTGCTGCTGATTATGCTGATGATGATGACGATGATGAAGATGAGGAGGAGAAGGCGGATGATGATACTGATTGTGATGATGCTACTGCTGCTGATGATGCTGATACTGATGCTGATCATGATGAGGATGGCGATGATGACAGTGATAAAGCTGGTGATGATGGCGACGATGATGATGCTGATGATGATTATGATTAGGATGATGACGATGTTGATGGATGATGCTGATGATGCTTATGATGACGACGATGATGATGATGCTGCTGATGATGATGACGATGATGATGATGATGATGATGATGATGATGATGATGATGATGATAGAGACGAGACGGAGGTGGAGGAGGAGGAGGAAGAAGACGAGGATGACTCCATGGATGGACGGGTGGATGCCGTGAGGTTGGGATAAGGGGGAGACGGAGGATGGTGATGAGGAGGATGCAGGAAGGAGGAGGAGGAGGACGAGGAGGGGGAGGAGGAGGAGGAGCAGCACGAGCAGCACGAGCAGCACGAGCAGCAAGAGCAAATGGGGCAGGCGCTGTCCGTGGGGGCGAGCTCCGGCGTGCAGGTCGACTTCGGCAGCCGCGTGGGGAGGGTGCGGTACTCCGGCCGGCACGCTTCCGGCCGCCCGCCTCGAGCCTCTGGCGACCTGCGAGGAACTCGAGCCGCAGGGGCGAGGTTCAGTCTTTGAGCACGTGTGTGTGATATGTGTACAGATGTATATCCTCGAGGCACTCTGTGACTGCTGTCTTCACGCAGCACTGCTGCCTCCGAGGGGTCCGGCCCGATCATATATATATATAGATGTTGATATATACATATACATAACATATGCATTACATATATATATATATAAACATATATGTACATACGCATGTATACAGGCATCTAACTATACATGTACACATGCATACACATATGGTTATACACATGTACATGTGTTTATACATACATATATATGCATGTATGTACATGTATATGTATATGTATATGTATATGTATATGTATATGTATATACATTTGCATTTGCATTTGCATATGTATATGTATATGTATATGCATATGTATATGTATATGTATATGTATATATATATATATATATGTATACATGTGTATATGCATATGTATTTGTATATGCATATATATATGTGTATATGTATACGTATATGTATATGTATATATGTATGTATGTGTACATGAATAAATATACGGGTATGTATATGTATAGGTATATGTATATGTATATGTATATGTATATGTATATGTATATGTATATGTATATGTATATGTATATGTGTATATATATATATCTATATCGGAGGTCGGGGGTTGAGATCGAAGTGCAGCGGAGACCCCGCACCCGGAAATCTGGTTCAGTGTCGTGCTCGTGTCGTTCGGGCGGACGAGGTGAAGCTTCGTGGGCGGGCCAGCGGAATGAACTCGCCGTTGCTAGGTCGAAGCCGGGCCAAACTCACCCGCCTCGAACTTATCCCTATCCCTAAGATTGACACGCCAAAAGGCGATGACAATCTTAGGGATGCGCCCTGAAAAACTAAGGGAGTCCCTAAGATTGGCATTGTGATGAGGCGATGCCCAGCTTAGGGATAGGGATATGTTCCAGGCTGGTAACAAACGTTGTGCCCTCCCCGTTGGCCGGCGATGGCTGGGTGGTGTCCTGCCGGTTGGCTGGCGGTGGCTTGGGGCTGTCCCGATGGTGTCCACAAGGCGCCCAGATGGTATCCACATGGTGCCCCGATGGTGTCCACATGGTGTCCCGATGGTGTCCCGATGGCGCCCCGATGGTGCTCCTGTGTCCCGATGGTGTTCCGATGGTGTTCACCTGGCGTCCCGATTGTGTTCTGATGGTGTCCCGATGGCGTCTCGATGATGTTCCGCTGGTGTCCCGATAGTGTCCCGATGGTGATCCGATTGTGTCCCGATGGTGTCCCAAAGGTGTTCCGATGGTGTCCCGGTGGTGCCCCGATGGTGTCTCGATGGTGTCCCAGTAGTGTCCGTATAGTGTCCAGATGATGTCCCGATGGTGTCCCGATGGTGTCCACAAGGGTGTCCACATGGTTGTCCCGTGAGATCGATAGATCAATAGACAGTGCGATCGATGTATATGGAGACCGTCTGCGATGCCCCGCTCATCTCCAGCATCGTCGCCATGCATCGTCACCATCGCAATCGCCATCCTGCCCCGTCACCAGCATCGTCGTCATGCAACGTCACCAGCTCGCGAGCGCATCACCAGCATCGACACCATCACAATCATCGCAGTTGTCGTCAGTTGGTTCCCCCCCATAACCTCCTTATCACCCGAAGGGTGGTCGTATAGTCACATCTATATCGAAGACGCCTACTGCGAGTCACCGCCGTCCCCTGCCCTTTCGGAAGCGCCTCCGAACGTTGAGGCCAGAGCCCTGCCAAGCTATCGGACCATGTGTTCCCCGGATCGGTTTGGAAAGCCTTCGGGGAACAGGCGGGGGAGGACGTGGAAGAGGAGGAGCGTGAGGAAACGGCGCGTTCGGGGCCCGTTGGGGGCTCTTGTGAGCTTTTGGAGGCGTCTTGGGGCCTGCTGGCCGAAGGTTGGGTCAGATCTTTGCCAATCTTTCGGAACGAGTGTTCCCCGAATCGGTTTGGAAAGCTTTCGGGGAACACGTGGAGGAGGTTGGGGAAGAGGAGGAGAGTGAGGAGAAAGGGGAAGTGAGGAAGAGTCCTCTCGGGAGCCCCTTGAGGCACTCTGGGGCTCAATCGGGCCATCTTGGCGGTCTTGGAGGCATTTTTGTTTGGACCGTTATAGAGGCCAAATTGGAGTGATCTTGGGCTCTCTTGGTGCCATCTTGGCCATCTTGGGCGCATCTTGGAGGCCATCTTGGGCCATATTGGCTGTCTTGGAGGCGTCTTGAGATAGTCTTGGAGGCCATCCTGGGCCGTCTTGGAGGGATCTTTCGTGGACTTTGAGGTCCTTAAGCGTCTTTCGAACCATTTTAGGAAGATCATAGCTTTTCGTCCGACATTGGCTCGCTTGATGTTGGATAGTGTTATAGGCATTTGTTTCCTGGAGGTAATCTTGGCCGCCTGGAGGCCATTTTGACCCGTTCGGGCCTTCCTGGAGGACGTCTTGGAGGGCTCTTGGGCTGTCTTGGAGGCCTCTTGCGGGTCTCTTGGGCAGTCTAAAGCCATCTTGAGGCCATCTGGGGCCAGCTTGCGTGCATCTTGGGACCATCTTCGCTGTCTTGGAGGCCTTCTTGGCCGGCTTGGAGGCATCTTGGAGGCTATCCTGGCTGTCTTGGAGGCCATTTTCGGCTTCTTCGGGGCCATCTTGGGCCGTCTTGGGCTCTTCTTTGGGCCCTCTTGGGGGCTGCTTGGGCTGTCATAGGGGCCATCTTGGAGGCCTCTTGGGCGCTCTTGGGGCGATGTTGCGGGCCTCTTGGGCCGTCTTGGGCCGTCGGAGAGCTGAAAAGGAGCAAAAGCCAAAATCCTTCAAACACCTAAGGAAAAGCATTGATTTGAACCCTGTGGGGTCCTCCTGGAGGACGTCTTGGAGGGCTCTTGGGCCGTCTTGGAGGCCTCTTGCGGGCCTTTTGGGCAGTCTTAGGCCATCTTGAGGCCATCTGGGGCCGGCTTGCGTGCATCTTGGGGCCATCTTGGCCGTCTTGGAGGCCTTCTTGGCCGTCTTGGAGGCATCTTGGAGGCCAATTTGGCAGTCTTGGAGGCCATCTGGGGCTCTTGGGGGCCTCTTGGGCCGTCTTGGGCTCTTCTTGGGGCCGTCTTGGGGGCCCCTTGGGCCGTCCTGGGGCCGTCTTGGAGGCTTCTTGGGCACTCTAGGGGCGATCTTGATGGCCTCTTGGGCAGTCTTGGGCCGTCGGAAGGCCGAAATGGAGCAGAAGCCCAAATCCTTCAAAAACCAAGGGACAATTACTGATTTTGACCTCTTCGGGCCGTCTTTGAGGACCCTGGAGGACCTCTTCGAGGCCCCGTGGGCCGTCTTGGAGGCCTCTTGGAGGCCTCTTGGGCCGTCTTGGGTCGTCTTAGGTTTCTCTTGTGCGAACTCGGGGGCATCCTGGACTCTTGGGCCGTCTTCGAGGCCATCTTGGACCATCTTGGGCGAATTTGGAGGCCATCTTGGGCCATCTTGGCCATCTTGGAGGCCATCTTGGAGCCGCCTGAAGCCGAACAACCCTGTGCAGCCACCTTTTGCGCGCCCTTCTGGGTGGCCGGCGGGACGGGCCGAAGCCCCGGGGGGAGTTCTTTTGGAAAAAGAGCCAACACCAAAAGCCAAAGGGTTCAGCACGCCGGGCACTCCTGTGATAAGACCACAGGGTCTAGTCACATCTATATCGAAGAAGCCTACGGCGAATCACCGCCGCCCTCTGCCCTTGTGGAAGCGCCTATGTGGCCGACAGCTGGGCTAGAGCTTGGCCAAGCTATCGGGCCAGTTGTTCCCGGAGTCGGTTTGGAGAGCCTTCGGGGAACGCGTGGGGGAGCAAGAGGTTTGCAAGCGCCCAAGTGTCCCAGCGTTGTGGCAAGAGCTCGCCAAGCTATCGGACCATGTGTTCCCCCCACCGTTCTGGAAACCCTTCGGGGAACACTTGGGGGAGGAGGATGGCGGGGAAGACCAGGAGGAGGAGGAGGAGGAGGAGGAGGAGGAGGAGGAAAAGGAGGAGGATAAGAATGAGGAGGAGGAGGAGGAGGAGCAGACGGGGGAGGATGAGGAGGAGGACGAGGAGGAGAAGGAGTGGAGGAGGAGCAGAAGGAGGATGAAAGGAAGAGGAGGAGGAGGATGAGGAGAAGGAGGAGGAGGAGGAAGAGGAGAAGGAGGAGGAGGGGGCATCTTGGGAGCATCTGGGGGCACTCTGGGGGCCTCCCTGGGAGCCTCTTGGAGGCATACTGGTGGCCTCCTTGGGCCTCTTGGGGGCCTTCGGGGGCCCCTCGGGGGCCTCTTTGGCCGTCTCGGGGCATTCCTGGCCCGTCCGATCCCGTCGGAAGCCGTACACGCCGGTCGTTGAAAGCAGGTATTTCTTGCTTCCCAGATCCCAATCTACTTCAAGCGCCTTCCTACTTCAAGAGCCGACACGCTTTTCCCAGGGTTTGTTATTCCCTGGGGGGGCCTGGACCCAATCTACTATATCCGCCTTCCTACTTCATGTTTCTACCTACTTCTTCCGACCGACGTGTATTGGGGGTCTCTCTGGGCCGACTTGAAACCCTCTTGGGGTGCTCCAGGGTCGTCTTGGAGGCCATCTTGGGCGTCTTGGAGGTTTCTTGGGTCGTCTGGGGGCCCTCTTGGGGTCGTCCCAGGGGCCCTCTTGGGCCGTTCTGGGGCCAGCCTGGAAGCCTCTTGGGCGATCTTTCGGGGCTCTTGGGCCGTCGGAAGGCTGAAAAGAAGCAAATGCCAAAGTCCTTGAGGAACCTTTTGGAAAATCAATGATTTTGGCCTCTTCGGGCCATCCTGGAGGCCCTCTTGGAGGCCTCTCGGGCGTCTTGAAGGCCTCTTGGGGGCCTCTTGGGCCGTCTTGGGCTGTCTTATAGCCATCTTAGGCCGTCTTGGTGGGCTCCTGGCCCGTCTGACGCCGTCGGAAGCTGTCTTAGGGGCCTCTCTAGGCCGACTGGGGGCCCTCTTGGGATGCTCCAGGGCCGTCTTGGAGATCATCTTGGGCGTCTTAGATGCCTCTTGGGCCGTCTTGGGGCCCTCTTGGGGCCGTCCTGGGGGCCCTTGTGCCATCAAGGGGCCCTCTTGGAGGCCTCTTGGGCGATCTTGGGACGATCTTGGGGGCCTCTTGGGCCGTCTTGATCCGTCGGAATGCCGAGAAGAAGCAAATGCCCAAATCCTTCAAACACCTAAGGACAGCCAATGATTTGGGCCTCTTCGGGCCCTCCATGAGGACCTCTTGGAGGCCTCTTAGGTCGTCTTGGGCCGTCTTGGAGGCTTCTTGGGCGAATTTGGAGATATCTTGGACTCTCTTGGGCCGTCATGAGGCCGTCTTGGACCATCTTGGGCGGACTTGGAGGCCATCTTGGCCTATCTTGGAGGCCATCTTGGGCCATGTAGCCATCTTGGAGGCCATCTTGAGCTGTCTTGGATGATTTTTTTCCAGATTGAGTTCCTTTCCAGGTGGCCGGCGGGACGCGCCAGAGGCCCAGGGGGATTTCTTTTGGAAAAGAACCAACACCAAAAACGATTGGATTCGCCACGCCAGGCATCCCTCTTGCAAGCAACACTGGGCGGCGGGTCTCATGGCCTTCTGCCCATCCCGCCACCGTGCCTGGGTTATGGGTCATAGGCCTCTAGGATATTTGTTGGGATGTCGCGGCAGGTCTCTCGGGGACCTCTTGGTGGCCGTTTGGAGGCCTCGTGACAGCCGTTTTGGGGCTTCTAGGGGTTTCTTGGTTCACGTTGTTCATTTCCAATTATTCGAAAGTTCTTTGATTTTTTGGGGGCCAAGATCCTTTCATTTCTATTTCTTTCATCCTGGGCCTCTTCCCGGCCACTAGGGGGTCAGGGCAAATGAGAAACGAGCACACTTAGAAATGAACACGATTAGATATGAACGACGTGTAGCCTCTTGGGAGTCTCTTGGGGCCTCTTGGGGGCCTCCTGGCGCCTCCTTGGGGCCTCCTTGGGGCCTCCTGGGGGCCTCTCTGGGCGGAAGACTCAGATGTTCTGTTCGTGTTCTCCTCTTGGGCCCTTCTTGAGGCTGTCTTCGGGCCTTCTTGGGCCGTCCTGGGCACTTCTGGGACCCTCTTGGACCCTCTTGCGCCGTGTGGGAGCCCTCATGAGGCCCCTCTTGGGCCGTCTTGGGGCGGCCTTTTGGGCTTCTTGGGCCGTCTGGGAGCGTCGGAAGCTCGAAAAGTCGAGGACCCCCCAAACAGTGGAAAATTTCTTGGGCAATCCGTGATTTTGGCCTCTCAGGGCCCTCTTGGGAAGGCTCTTGGGGCTCCCTTCGGGCGTCTCGAAGGCTTCTTGCGCCGACTTTGGGCCATCTTGGGCGTCTCGAGCCGATCGCGGGGCCCTCCTGAACCGTCTGGGCGGCCTCTCGGGGCCCTCCGGGCCCGTCTTGGGGCCTTCTTGGGCCCAGCAGAGTCGCGCGACGAGGCGCTCCAGGCCCCAGGGGCGACGTGACGCGCCCCAGGATGTTCTGGAACTCGGGGTCCGTGCCCTTCAAGGAATCTCTGGGTTGAGGGCTGAGGCTGAAGGGATCAGGCAAAGAGCCCGAGTCCACGTCAATTCGTGCCTCAAGAGCACGGTGGCGGACGCACACATACGTGCATACGCTTCGTGGGCCCTGCAATCGACAGGGCCGTTTTTTGCCGGCTCCGTTTTGCAGTTTTTGTGGCGGGTTCCGACGCTTTTTTTGCCGGTTCCGTCGCCGTTTTGTTCCCGGTTCCACCTCCGGCTCCAATCGCGGAGTCGTTCTTTTGCCGCTTCCATTTTCAAGAGACGTGTTTTCGGACACGGGGATGGCCCTGCCGTGGCCGGGGCCAACCTGGGTGCAGGCGTACATTCTTATATCAGGTTTTTAGGCGCGTTTCTTGGAATAGTTTTAAATGAGGAAGAACCTCTAAGGTCCAGAGGCCTCTTCAGCCATGCGCAGAGGGGGATGGGGGGAGGGGGGAGGGCTTCTTAGAAGCACCCCTGCTTCTTAGAAGACGCGGGCCTCATTTATAGGTTGCAAGGCCGGCGCCTTCGAAGAAGCAGCCTTCTTCTGAGAAGCCCCTTCCCCCCTCCCCCTGCCACCCTTGTGCGCGCTGCCAGGGACTAGTATCAAACAAAAATGAACCTCCAAGGTCCAGAGGCCTCTGGCTTGGCGACTTGGATCCGCCACGTGATGCGAATCGGAGGAGGAGTAGGAGGAGGGAGGAGGAGGAGGAGGAGGAGAAGGAGATGGAGGACGAGGAGGATGATATAACGGAGGAGGAGGAAGAGGAGGAAGGAGGAGGAGGAGGAGGAGGAGGAGGAGGAGGAGGAGGAGGAGGAGGGAGGAGGAGGAGGAGGGAGGAGGAGGAGGAGGAGGAGGAGGAGGAGGAGGAGGAGGAGGAGGAGGGGAGGAGGAGGAGGAGGAGGAGGAGGAGGAGGAGGAGGAGGAGGAGGAGGAGGAGGAGGATTCGGCCTCTTCCTGCTGGCGGCTCGGCCCGCGGCCTCCGCCGGAGGCCCCCGCGGAGGTGCCGTGGTCCCCGGGAGCGCCCCGGGGAGCCCAGAGCCTCCCGGGCGTCGTGGGCTGCGGCGCGGGGGGCGACGGCCAGGGCGGCGGACGGTCGCCGCCTCCCACGGGCCTCAGGGGCCTACCTCTCTCTCTCTCTCGCTATATATATATATATATATATATATATAGAGATATGTGTATATATACACATATGTATATATTATCACTTCTTTTCTCGTGTGATATAGGGCTCGTATTTTACGGCTACCTTAGTTTTGATCCCCCCCTTGGTCCGACCGAGCCCTGGCATCCACTGGCGTCCAGACACTGGATTCCTTGTCTTAGGGCTCGTTATCCAATGCCCACACCGTAAGACACATAAAACACATAACATCACATATGCACACTTCTTGTAAGCAACTAGAGGGACTTGGAGAAAGAGGCCGATAAAAGACCCAAGGACCGCCCAAGCACGGATTCGGGATGACAATCTGGCCCCGGGGCAGGAATCGAGAGAGGTTTGGGGGCCCACGTTGCCAGCAGATCGTGCCGTCGGAGGTCTGGGTTCTTCCTGCGCCTTCCCTCCTTCTTCTTTGCTCCTCCCTTCTTCCTCCCTCGTCCCTCTTTCTACCTTCCTCCTCCCCCTCCCTCCCTCTCTTTCCATCCCCCCCTCCCTTCCTCCCTCCTCCCGCCCTACCTCCCTCTCTCTCCCCCCTCTCCTTCCTCCTCCTCCCGCTCCTTCCTGCCACCTCCTCTTCCTCCTCCCTCACTCCATCCTTCCTCTCTCCTCTTCACTTCCTCCTCTCTCCCTCCCCCTCTCTCGCTCTCCTCCCTCCGTATTTCCTCTCTCCTTTCTTCTCCTGCCTTTCTCCTCCTCCTCCTCGTCCTCCTCCTCCATTCCTTTTCCTTAGGTATAGATAACTCCTCCCTGTCGCCCCGAGGCTAGTTTTTAGAGCGGGCCGGGCGTTTCGTTTGAGATTTCCTCACCATTTATGATTCTGAAGCTTAAAAAGTGGCAGCAGTTTCACATATGGAGGGCGGGCCGTTTTCAAAATGTGGTTCTCGCCTTGGCGCCGCGCGCACTCGCGTTAAACAGTTGCAAGAGTTTCACAGATTGAGGGCGGGTCGTTTTCAAAATGTGGCTCTCGCCTTAGCGCCGTGCACATTCGTTGAACGAAAACTGCATGCGTCTCACGGATTGAGGGCGGGTGGCTTTCAACATGTGGCTCTCGCCTAAGCGCCGCGCACATTCGTTGATAACATCTGCAAGAGTTTCACGGATTGAGGGCGGGTGGCTTTCAACATGTGGCTCTCGCCTCAGCGCCGCGCGCATCCGCTTTAAATATTTGCCAGAGTTTCACGGATTGAGGGCGGGTCCAGTTCAAAATGTGGCTCTCGCTTTAGCGCCGCGCACAGTAGTTGTTCCACAGTTGCAAGAGTTTCACGGACTCCCATGATCAACGTACCAGAAATGGTGATTTGGAAGGATTTAGGATTATGCGGGTGCAACAGTGATTTTGATTCGCGGTGTTGAAGTCCCAAAGATGGCGCTCTGGTACGATTCCGGATCGTCAGGACACAACAGTCAGGTTGATACGTGACGTTGAAATCCGAGAACAACGTTTTGGCATGCTCCGGGATCTTCAAACGGTTGTCTTCCAACGAGGCAGATCCCTCAACGGAAATGAACCGTTGTGGGGGCCTACGAAGAGGGAGCTTGGAGGGAGGGTGAATTCCGACATCGTTGATGACTCGTGGTTTTACACTGGTCCTCCTCCTCCTCCTCCTCTTCTCTTCCTCCTCCTCCTCCTCCTCCTTCTCCTCCTCCTCCTCCTCCCCCTGCCCCTCCGCGCGCTCCCGCGCGCGCGAAACAAGGTATTTCTACCGGCACGTGCCCGTCCGCTGCTGGCATGTGCCGCACGTGCTGCTATCTGGTGACCCGCTTGCCCGACGAGTCCTTCCCGACCTATTCCACCCGTGGTCGCTCAGCCTCGAAGTTCCCAAGAGTTAGGAAGACGATTATCGGGTTGGGAGGATGGGGTCTGGAGAGATGAAGATTTCCTTAATTCGTAGGCGGCCAAAGGTAACGTTCATTGCATCCGGATGCTGTTGCTCATGCCCTTCATCCTCCCAACCCTCTCCTCCGAACACGATAGTTGTTCTCTTCAAAGAGGTTCTCTGAGATGGTGCCCTCCAGATCTGGAGAGAAGAGCGTTCGAGCCCGACCAGTCGGTGCGAGCTTTTCTATTCGGGGTGGGGGTGCCTCTGGGGAAGGCCTGCCGATGCTGGTGCCCGGGCTCCCCTGGCTCTTGCGGGCGGGAGCCTCCAGAGGACCCTCTTGGGGGCTCAGTGTTTCGGGGTGACCCAGGAGTGGGTCCAGCTGAAATGCGGTGGTGTAATATATTGGGGCAGTTGTATTGCAAATGTATCGCGCCGGAGAATTGTATTGCATTGTATTGCAAGTAATGTATTGCACGCGAAAATGCCGCGATACATCTGCGCCCCGAAATGTATTACACGCCCCACATGTATTGCAACCCCACAGATCTATTGCACCAAATCTATTGCACCACCCCCTTGTCGCTGGACCCCCGTTTGGGTCAACCCGAGTCCTGCGACCACTTGCGAACCCTGCCCCAGCGGATCCACTCGGCGCTGGTGTACGGGACACCTTTGTTGAGATTCACTTGGCTGCAGGCGTCCTTCCAAATGCTGACCCCCGCTGGTGTTTCAGGAAGCAGACCCGCATGGGGAGGTCGGAGAGAGAGAGAGAGAGAGAGAGAGAGAGAGCGTGACCCACCGCCGCCTTACTGTGGAACCATCCCCCCCCCTCTTCCTCCGGAGCCCGGGTGCCCCCCGCCCCCCCCCCCTTCGAAAATCCCCCCCTCCCGCTGGACCCCCCCCCTCCCTCCCCCCTGCACCCCCCCCCCCATCTAAGCCCCCCCCTCCTCCCCCTTCCAGAAAACTGGGGGGGGCCACTACCGGTTTGACCCCCCCCCCGCCCTCCAGAAAACCCGGGGGGGTCACTACCTGTTCGAACCCCCCCCCCTTCGCCGCCGGCAAACGATTCCCGTTCCTCGGGACAGTGGGACAGCGGAAAACCAGGGAGGGGTCGCTACTGGTTCGAACCCCCCCCCTCCGGAAAACCGGAAAACTGGGGGGGGTCACTACCGGTTCGAACCCCCTCCCCTCCAGACAGAAAACCGGGGGGGGGGGGGGTGACGAAGGACGGCACGAAACGAGAGAGCTCAGGGCTGAAGGACGAAACGAAACGCGCGAACTCCGCGCGGACCTGCGACAGTTCGGGGTGCGCCCTGGCGGGGACTCATTCGACGCGGGTCCAGCCGTGGCCGCGCGGCCTTAGAGAACATCCCTGGAAGTCCTGCAAGGACAAAAAGAACATCCCAAAGCTTCGATCCTCGTTCCTCCTGCCTCGTTCCTCCTCGGTCGTCGTCGTCGTCGTCGTCGTCGTCGTCGTCGTCGTCGGTGTCGTCCGTTGAAGGCCCAGGCGTGTCGTGTTCGCCAACCCCCCGAAGGCTGCTCGGGTGCGCGTCGTGGCCAGGATTTTTTCGCGTGGGGCCCGGCCTGTTGGCCACATCCCCGTCCTCCTCTTCCTCGTTCTCCTCCTCCTCCTCCTCCTCTTCCTCCTCCTCCTCCTCCTCCTCCTCCTACTCCTCCTCCTCCTCCCAGCAGTTCCGAGACTGTACGAAGACCCTGTCGGATGGCACCGAGATCTTCGAGAAGCACGCCAAATCGGGGGAGGCGGCCAGCTCTAGCGGCCGTGCGTGTGAGAGCCCACTTGCAACGCCACGGGGTGCATTAGCGAGGATTTCTCGTAGCGCGACTCTAGGCAGGCAGGGCGGGCAGACTCAGAGGGACCATCACTAGCGGAGACATCTCTGTGTGAGAACCCTCAGGACAGTGCTCGCGCAAACAACGTTTTGGAATGTGTTTTTTTTTGTGTGCCGACAGGTACATTGCTGCAGGGAGCGAGGATTGGAAAATGAGATAATCACGAAGGCCACCAGAACGCATCCTTGAGGAGCCCACCTATCTCGACACTGCAGCAGTACAGCTGGGGGACAGGAGGAGGGAATGACAACCGACCTCCCGCAGGCCGTGGCTATAAGTATGCTCTCCTCTACGTACTCACCGAGGGGGTGCTGTGGAATACTATTGCGGGGTACCAGGGTACAGATACGACACTGCATGGGACAACCAACGGCCAGTACGCTCAGGAGGAGAAGTGAGCCCAGAAAGAGAGAGAGAGAGAGAGAGAGAGAGAGAAAGAGAGAGGAGAGAGACCAGGGTAGAAATATCAACGCTCGGTCGTAGGTATAATGTAATTCTTTACGCTTCGCGTGTCCCCACCAGCCCATCTCACAGCAGCAACTCTCGCGAAGCATGCCGACAGTCGTGTTTTGTTCAGGCGTGTGTCCGCTTGGCCCCGCATATCTCCTCTGTTCCTCCTTCCCCCCGCCTCCTTGTACATCCTCCTTGTGGGGGGAGCGGGAGAAGGACGAGGCGGAGGAGGAGGGAGAGAAAGCGCTCCTCGTGGTTTGAGTCGTTTGGGGATTCTCGTCCTGGTGTGAGTCGTTCGGGCCCTTCTTCCTGGTGTGACTCGTTCGGGCTCCTCGTGGTGTGAGTCGTTCGGGCTCTTCGTCGTGGTGTGAGTCGTTCGGGCTCCTCGTGGTGTGAGTCGTTCGGGCGCCTCGTCCTGGTGTGAGCCGTTCGGGCCCCTCCTTATGGTGTGAGTCGTTCGGGCTCTTCGTGGTGCGAGTCGTTCGGGCCCCTCGTCCTGGTGTGAGTCGTTCGGGCTCCTCGTGGGGCCTCTTGGGGGCCTCTTGGAGGCTCTTGGAGCCTCTTGGGGGCCTCTTGGGGTCTTGGGGGCCTCTTGGGGGCCTCTTGGGGCGTCTTGGGGCCTCTTGGGGGCCTCTTGGGGGCCTCTCGGGGGCCTCTTGGGGCCTCTTGGGGGCCTCTTTGGGGCCCCTTGGAGGCCTCTTGGGAGCCTCCTGGGGGCCTCTTGGGGCCAGTTTGGGGCCTCTTGCGACCTCCTCAGAAGCGCAAGTGAGCGCTGCCCCCTGATAAGGACAAACTGAGGCCAAAACCTTCGTAAAATCAATGATTTTGCTATGAAGGAAGAGGAGCGCGGCCCCCTCAGGAGGCGAAAATGGGGCCGAAACCGTCGTAAAATCAATGTTTTTGGCTTCAAAGATGAGGAGAGGGTTTTTTCTGCCTCCCCCCGTCGGGGCCAGAATCCTCGTGAGCGGTGTCGTTTTTTAGCCCTCCAAGGAGTCGAAAAAGGCCCCTCTGACCACCCGCCGGGTTCCCTCTCCAGGCCCAGGGGGGGGGGGTAGGGGGAGGGGTAAACCCCTCCCCGAAGGGGAAGAAGGGGGGTTGAGGACAGAGCGGGCTCTCTAAACCACTCACGCCCAAAGGGCTGGTGGGATTCTGCCCCCCCAGCAAAAGTTTGGAACGCAAGGGCCTCCCGATTTCCCTCGTCTTCTCCTTTTTGGGTGGTCGTGTCGTCGTTTCTCCTCCCTCGCTTGGGAGCTCTGCTCGCCCAGCGCGTCCCCAGTGTCATGGGCACGCGAGAGGGCCAACACTTGCCCTCCCCCCCGCACTGATTCACAAGGTAGCGAGCCTCTCTTACGGGGCCACCTCGGAGCTCGCCCCTTGTAGCTTCGGGGTATGCTCCCTGCCGGCCCTCATGAGAAGTCTGGGCTGTTGCGCAACCTAATCGCAGGGGGTTTTGCCAGTCGCGCGAACGGCACCAGTGTAGGTGTTGACGTTGACCCGCTTATGCGGATGTCCTGTCCTGTCCTGTCCTCCCCATCCTCCTCCTCCTCCTTCTCTTCCTCCCGCTCTTCCTCCTCTTTTTCCTCCTCCTCCTCCTTCTCCTCCTCCTCCTCCTCCTCGTCCTCCTCCTCCTCCTCCTCCTCCTCCTCGTCCTCGTCCTCCTCCTCCTCCTCCTCCCTCCTCTTTCTTCCCTCCTCCCTCCTCCCTCCTCCCTCCTCTTTCTTCCCTCCTCCCTTTCTTCCCTCCTTACTGTCGCTCAGGAGGATCATCAGGCTGTAGGTGCCTTACTTCTCTTGCCTCCCACAGGATGCATACAGGAGATCACATCCACTCACCGCATACCACACGATCCAGCCCTACTCCAGGATCCTGAGGCCAGGGCTGCTTTCATCCAGTTGCTCCAAAGGGCTCCACATGTGGAGTTTGCCACACACAGCTCGGATCACACACATATCCTGGACCTACATGTGCGTACATGCGTGCAAGAAGCTTTCCCTGTGAAGACTACGGACAGGGGACGACAGCCGCGGCAGGGATGGATTCAGAGAGACACCATGAGTGCAATCGACCTACGCACAAAGGCGCTAAGGCAAGCTCGCCAAGTGCGGAGCACGGCAGCCAGGGCAGCTAGTGCAGTTGTCTTTTTTTCTGTGGGCACAACATACGCACAGTGCTAGGCTGTTGGACCTACACTTTTTCGGTCGACCTCTTACCACCCTCCTCCCAGTCCCTCTACGGTGGTCCTATCTTGGGAACGGTGCCGGCGTGCCTTCAACAGTCTTGGGGAGGCTCTCAGGGACACCATGGCTGCCTCTGCGGCTATGCAAAATGCCGATCCGTCTAAAAGAAGACGGGCCAAGTGGCTCCGACTAGCTCATCGACATGTGGACCGACTCTCAGTCATCTCGGACCCTGCTCGCATCCTCGGGTCGGGAGGCTCTGTCTTGGAGTTTCTAGAGGCCCTCTGGGAGCACATTCGGGACGTGGAAGGGAAGACTCTGGCCATCAGGGAGCTTTTCCAACTACACAACACATATGTGATCAAATGCTTGTCAAAGCAGAACGCCATGACGCATTACTACGGTCTTGCCGACCTGTTGCAGTCTGAGTGGGACAAAAATGCAACAGACAAGGCCTTTGCTACTCTACGACGCATGGGTGCAG